TGTTTGTTTGTCGTCTACAGGCCACATTTCTTAACTAATAATCTTGAAACTTTGCATACACATTCTTTGTACCCTAAGGAACATCCCTATCGTTTGGGGTGCATGCCCAACCCCCAGGGGCAGAGCCACGCCCATTTTCTTTTCGTGTGTCTTTGTGTCGCCTACAGGGCGCAATTCTTACTGGATTTTCTTCAAACTTGGTATACTTATTCCTTATACCCCAAGGAAGATCCCTATTGTTTTTGGTGCATGCCCGACCCCCAGGGGCAGAGCCACGCCCATTTCTAGTATTTGTTTGTTTGTCGTCTACAGGCCACATTTCTTAACTTATAATCTTGTTTTCTATTATTTTTGGTGCATGCCCGACCCCCTGGGACAGAGCCACGCCCAAAATTTGTGTGCCTTTTGTGTCGCCTACAGGCCGCCCAATTTTTATGTTTATCGTTTACTTGGCAGATGTATTCCTTATAGCCTAAGGGCATCAACTATTGATTTTGGGGAATGCCCCGACCCCCAGGGACAGAGCCACGCCCAATTTTTGCCTTTAACGCCCAAAGGCCACAATTTTGAATGGATTATCTTGGAACTTGGTATACTTATTCCTTATACCCTAAGGACGGCAACTATTGATGTTGTCATTTCAATAACAGGATATGGTCCCTATTTATATTGTTTCCATATCCAACCCCCACGGGCAGAGCCACGCCCAGTTTTTGTATTTATCGTCTACAGGCTGCAATTCTGAATGGATCATCTTGGAACTTTGCATATTTATTCCTTATACCATAAAGACAGCAACTATTTATTTTGATGCTTGCCCCGACCTACTGGGGCAGTCTCACACCCACTTTGTTAGTATTTTGTCTGTAAATTTGGCAAAACAAACCCGACGCCTAGCCTTCTTTGCCTCTGATCATATTACAGGCATTTCATATTTCATTCTCTTCATTTTAAAAAGTACCATATCAATCAAAGCTGGAATGTGGACGTATATTGCAGCGTTAGCGATGCTCTTGTTTATTCTATTTCTGAAAACGAACTGCCCACCGCATTTCAACGGCACCATGGTCTGGTAACGTGTGCTAATTTTCCAATAATAGAAAATAATAATAATAATAAAAAAAAATATATATACAATTTTATTTAATCCACTATGTTTGAATTTCTGAGCTTTTTTTTTTATTGGTGATGGGTGTTGGATGGCCGGATGGTTAGCACGTGCGCGCTGTATCATAAGGCCTGTCATGGACCCCTACGCGCAAGCGAATTATTGAAATAAAATTAAACCATGTGTTAGTCCCGAAATGGCGTAGTTTGTGTCGGGTGGACGTTAAACCCCATTTCTCTACCCCCCTCTCTATCTCTCTTTTATTGGCGAAATCGTTAAACCCTCACCCCCCACCTCTCTCCCTCTCTTTCTTTTATTGGTGAAATTGTTAATGAAAACGTCAAAGCAACCTCCACCAACTATTAAGGTCGTGGCATATCAAACTTAAATTAAATAGAGTAACACCTGGCAGCATTTAGATATGAGAAATAAATAAATAAATAAACGGAAACAGGGTCTGTTTTTTTCTGCATCTATCCGGTTAAGGACGACGGAAATGCGGTATGCTATGAAGTAAATGTTCAAAAGACAGTGGAGTCGCCTGCATGTCGTCGAAATACAGCAGTCAATACATTTACATACACGGGCACAGGCACATGGTAGGACCTCGGTTCCAAGAACCAGATAGCCCCCTGCCCCCTTCCCACGTCAAACGTACAACCGGGGTGAACAATCCAGAAGAACTATCTCGGTTCACTTTCCCAACATTTTCATATTTAATTTGATTCTGACTTATTTTGATACTCAATGTATTACATTTTTTTCTATAATATGGGCTGTGTACAGTATTTTCTTGATTTATGGACATACGTCCTGCATTCAAACCAATCTGTTATGAGTTGGACTGACAAGTAAGATTAAAGCTTTTACGAACTCACAAAAATAGACCAATCATAATGTTGAGGCGTATTCAAAGCTGGAAAATGATTGGATAAATGAACGAATGGGCGTGTTTGTGGTCGTATTGATTTCTGACGAGCTCCCCCAGATGAGCGAAAGGGTACTTTAGAATGTTAAAATGTTATTAAACCATTGTTGAAATCAGCATACCGTGAACAAAGTATTGCAGCTTTTCGTTTCACTTGTTCGTCCAAGAATGAGAATTACAGATCATTCGTTTCAATTGTGAATTTGATATTTAAATCTAAAGCATGCACTATTTCTTACAAATATAGAACATCGCCAATTTAATAGAAATATTTCGTCTCGGAATGTTTCAATTGATTTTCTAAATATAATCTGTAATCCACAACATATTAATTTCTACAATAGAGTATATTTTTTCCTCTAAAAATCTCAATGTTAGACTACCCAATTGTGGCGCTGCGTTGGTACCCGTTGTCATACCTTGAATTTGTTTCGCCAATAGAGTATATTTTTTCCTCTAAAAATCTCAATGTTAGACTACCCAATTGTGGCGGTGCGTTGGTACCCGTTGTCATACCTTGAATTTGTTTCGCCAAATATAATAGCGTTGTTAGTGTGATTCGTATGGCGTTTAAGATGAAGTTAGTTTGAACAGTGTGTCATGATTGCAATGATGATGTTTGTCCAGCCAATATTCTACTGACTGATGGCGAAATGAAATGAGATGAAATGGGTGTTAACGTCCCACTGTTCTGCTGGGCTAATGAAGACGGCAAACGCGATGCATGTAAATTTCGCCCTGACATCGCGGCAACGACCCACTCTTATTTCGAATTCCAACTATAGGATACGGGAACCCGGGTTTTCGTTCTATCCGAACGACTACACATTCTTTCTACACGACTGACAAGGGGGAAACCACGCCGGAAAATCCCGATGAACTGTCTCAGTCAAGGCAGGGATCGAACACGGGACCTCCGGGTTAAGTCCTACTCACTGAGCCACTGTGGCACCCATCCATGGTTACGAAAAGGTCGCCATCATTAAGATCTTGGGATAATGCCATAAAGAATAACAGATTTTACATTTGTAACTTGCGACTTAGGTAAGATATCAATGATATTTGATAATCTATTAGTGATTAGTGGGACTGCCAGTCTTGAGGGGAAGATCGTCTGGTTGAATTTGGAATTTTGGTCTTCTTGTTTTGCGTTGTGTATTACAGACCATAAGCCCAAAATATCCTCGGACACAGCTTCTTCCCTATAACCCAACTATTATAATATATGAATATTAAAATCTTGAGAAAAGAAACATAGTAGTATCCGACCTGCGCTTCTCCATTAAAGATACATTATGTGAGATTCGATAACGAGTTGGCAGTTCTCAGTATAATAGTTAAAAACTAGATAATGTTATGGCAATTTGTTGAAAATTTCATTGAAATTGATCCACTATGAACCGAAAACTAAGCGGTTAAAATTTATGACTAGCCAGTACGATAAACAGCAGTCTCGATTATCCATTTAATCGTTAAATCGTGAAGGAAAGTTATGCAGTAAATCGGTTCATAATCCACTACAGATTGTAGGCTAGCATAACCATCTAGAGTTGATTATGGTCTGGACAGGTTAATTAATGTCTAATTAATAATTTAGATAACATTTCAGGCCTAAAGAATGATCTGCAATAGACAGATTTAGCTCTTGCATAATGTATGTTTAATTTTAGTAGAATTTGTCCTGAAACAATCAAGATTAAACCGGTTATGATACAACTGGACGTTCATTTTTGTTACAATTTTCTCCGGGTTCGACCATAAAATCTTATAATTTAACTGGACCTGCTGAGTGTCAGTGGGGCAGGGCGGAGGGTCTGTAAAGGACAAGTCTTGTCGTTCGGATGGGACGTAAAACTGAACACTATGAATACATAGACGTGCATATGAAGGAGTCCTTGGCATTTAGAAAATGATGAAGAGTAGGCAATTACGTCCCGGTTCGTGTTAAATTTTCATCGTAGCACATGGCGGATGTCCATTTCATTAGCCGGGTTGGTGTAGATAGGTGCAGGAAAGTAGGACTTAAAGTCCCATTCCATTTATTCTCAGTTTTGCAACTAACTGCCCTCGCATAAAGAGCTCTTTGAAATCGTGTTAGACATGTCCCTCCCCCCACCACCACCAAAAAACCCCCCCACCACAAACGATTGGCGATTGAAGCCGACACAGATGTATAAGGGGAAGTAAATCACTTTTTCTCAATGAAATTTAAATGGCCACAGATCACCAATGTTTTCCCCGTTGACATTATTGTTAATTCTCGTCTCTTAGACCGACCTAACCTCTTCCCAAATTTTCGTTAGCTAGAACACTTTCTACCACAGATGGAGCAACAGATGGCAACCTCTTGTTCAAATGCATGTAATGAGGTTCACCATGGAAAACTTGAGATACACAACCTGGAAGTAAAGACTATAAAAGATGCAAATTTCCGCCCAACATTTCAACCTAACCAACCTCTCAACTCTCGTATCCTTCCGCCTCAAAATCATGAATATTCACCAAAACCTGGCAGAATAAGTATTTTCAAACCCCTTTTGTCGATTCTACACCAAAAAGTCAGCAAACGTGGCTATGCAAATTGGGGGAAAAGGCAAAGAGGGAGAGAAAGACTAAAAATAACTTTCGCCCTTCATTCGTAGTAGATATACTTGGCGAGCTGTGTCCAAATGTTATATTCTTGAAACTATTTTTTTTGGAGAGAGAGAGATGAAAAAAGGTATGCCGATAGATAAGTTAGTTTGAATATGGTTTTCGTCCAATTATTTCATCAAATCACACAGTTTATCGCGAGAAGGCGCCTTTAATGTTTTATGATCAGGAATGTGGGTGCAGTGGCAAACGGCCCTGATTGCGAGCATAGCGAATTGATTGCTTGCCCCTGGTTTAGGAAGTAAACTATTGCCCTTTACCCTCTTACTAGAATGCACAGGAATGTTTTATTCGGAAAGATAAAGCAAAATAAACAAAGTAAATACAATTTATTAATACAATATAATATGAGATTGCAGAATTATCAGGGTTATTTTAAAATAATCTGCATAAAACAAGACATCCGTCACTACTGACAGTCAATGGGGGCGCCGTTTAGGCATGATTGGTAACCGCCAGCCATGGATTAATATACATTCTTATAATGGAATGAATGATCTTGTCTACTCAATACTCTAAGTAAAACATAATGCTAACTTCCATTCTAATTGTTACGTGTACAACGCGAAGTAGGAGAATTTTGCCCTGAGAGCGCTTTGCAACCTACACACCCTCTACTTACATTGACATGGTTTTATTCCGTGAATGCCAATGTGTACAAATTTGGGTTAATTTTTTGATAAGACAACCTTTTAACTTTTATTATACATGATCTGAAATATTGTGCTTTTAATTATTTTGTCTAGATTACGATGACTTGATCTTTGGTTTTCCTGAGCAAGTCATTCGATAACATGTCTTTAAACAGCAGAATAAAAGTGTTAAAACTAAGGTGCATATTAAAATAAGTAATGCCAGAACATCAAGCAATAAATACTGATATAACGGCATGTCTATACTTGATGATCGTCTATACTCGCCCCCAAACTTAATTACATGCTCAATCCAAAACGCTGCAACTTCAGACGGGTTCTCTCTCTTTTCCAATTCTTGTACAATCTGAGAAGCTTTGTTGATGTTAGATTTATACGATGGATTTTCAATGATCTCGTTGATGTTGTCTTTTATATCTTCGGTCTTAGCTGCAAACAGATCCATTTGAAGCCCATAGCCTCGGGAGGATATCAGAAAGCCGTTCGCCGGCTGGTCACCAAAGAGTGGAAATCCTAGCATAGGTACTCCGTTACTGATACCTTCTCCAACACCGTTTGTTCCACAGTGAGTTACAAATAATCGCGTCTTTTTATGCTTCAGTAAAGTTTTTTGAGGAATCCACTTTGAAACCATCATACGATCAGTACTCTTCGCGAAGCTCCCTTTGATGATAAAATCGTACTTAGTATTTGTAAATGCTGTCACTAGTTTCGAGAGTATTGAAACGTTGGTATTAGGAAATATACTTCCGAACGAAACAATAACGACACCATTTTGTGATCGATCGAGAAATTTAGCATAGTCTTCGGGCATCTTTGTATCAACTCGCGGAGTCAAAGAACCAATTTTAATCACATTTGGCATAACAGGATACGGATAATCTAACAATTCATTCACTTCTACGATATACAGACGCGCTCGTCGCTGGAGCTCGGTCATACCAATAAATGGTCTTTCAGGAGCGTAAATGGAGGCTGTGTTTCGGTCGTTAAAAGGGTCATAAAACATAAATCCTACGACGATAAGTGTGTTTAAAACACGTTCTGTGAAAGTCATTCTATCAGAAAACGGAAAAAGTTTGAAAGGTACAAAAGATGGCGAAAATGGAATCCTCCATTGATAATGATGGCAGAATGGTCCAAAATAGACGAAGGGTATATCATATTTATACGGTATAATTGTTAACATGCTAGAGACAGGAACACTCTCAACTACCATTAAATCAAACTTTTCTCGCTTTATGGTTGATGCTAATTGGTCGTCGGTTATCATAACACTGATAACTGTCTTTGCTTCGTGCAACGGCAGTGACCTCTTTCCAGTTCGAAGATACGTAAATATTGGATTTGAATCTGAATCGCCTAACAGCTGGTCAAACAAAAAATTGATTTTTTGGGATTGAGCAAACGGTGTAATTTGAATCTTTCTTTTCTTCAAATTCAGCTTTTCATCCATATCCGGAAGTGACGTTATCCACACGTCATGTCCTTTCTCTATTAAAGCATCTGCTATGAAAGACATTTGTTGAACATGGCTGTATACCGGCGTACATACGAAAAGGATTTTAGCTGTGAACACTATGGAAGGTAAAACTACCATAAACGCCAGGAAGCACAAACACTTCATAATCGAATCTTCGATCGTTTCTTTAAGGACAGCTCAGCTTTGTTTTTAAAATCTGCTATCTGCAATATATATAATACACTGAATCACAAGATGGTTGACAGGCAACGAAATATACGTCCACGGCAGCTAAATCGCCCGATCAATCGAATTTTACAAAACACTGATACCGATTTCATACAGATAGAATGATAACTGTTGTTGTTAGTGCGTTCTCGAGAGGTTCAACAAAGTGAAAGGACTATAACTCTGAAATTCAAACAAGGGCCATAACTCTAAAATTAGATCACAACAATTGCTGACATTAAACAGGCTTTTTCGGTTTACTAATCTATATACTAATCTTAATACAGATCGGATGACCACTTTTGTCATTAGACCCTTCACAAAATCCAATAAAGTGAAACAAGGGCCATAACTCCAGAAGTTATGAACGGAAATTGCTGAAATTCAATAGGATTCTTAATTTTACTAATTTAAACAATGCATGGAAATTTAATACAGATCAGATAACTTGATAACAAGGTTCTACAAAGTGAAACAAGGACCATAACTCTAGAAGTAATTAACGGAATTTGTTGAAATTAAATAGGCCTATTCGTCTCACTTATGTAAGCAGCATACATAAACCTCAAAATGATCAGATAATAAATGTGTAGCAGAGTGTTCACAATAAATTGTGGACAACGGACCACAATAAATTGTGGACAACGGACGGACGGCAATATACGACCACATTTCTATGTTGGTGTATAAAAATACTACCAATACAAAGAAATGAATTGAAATGTTAGTGAGGTTTAACGTCCTACTGTTCTGTTCCGGCCTACTCTTATATCGAATTCTAACTGACAAGGGATCTTTAACGTGCACGTCAATTTGTATACGCGACCGCGGGTTTTCGTCCCCTCCGAACGGATATACGGTGTCCCTTGCAAGGCTCTCTGTTCTGCACCACTGACAAGGCGGAACCACGCCGTAAAATCCTGGTGAACTTTCTCAGCCAAAGCAAGGGTCTAACACTCGAGCTTAGCTTATCTTACTCACTCAGCCGCTGTAGGGTGTCCCATTAAATCAAAGAAACGTCTAACCTATACAACAGTATATACTGGTTTTCCACGACTTTATCCCCTTTAAAGAACGACTATACATTTGTATATTCTGGTTATCTACGCCTCCACCCTCATTTGATGAACGACCAGAAAAGTCTGACTGCTTTACAAATTATACGTTAGTACATCAAATTGCTGGGGATGTTTTTTTTTGCACGAGCATACCAGGTTGTGCATATGTTTTCACTATATTACATGATATAACTATGTGTTTGCCATATAAATAGAGAATCTCCATAAAGTAACAAAAGATAGGCTGGCAGGCAACGAAACATACGCCAACAGCAGCTAAGTCGTCCGCGGAGTCAACAAGAGTTGTGGCATATTTTTCTTTTGTCGGTAATGAAACATTTATACTACACTAAAATCTGATTAAGAGCAACAACTCAGTAATGTTTTGCACTAACATACCAGGTTGTACATGTTTTCACTATATTACATGAGGTAACTATGTGTTTACTAGTTCTGCCCCATACTAACGTTTAGTATACAAAATATTTAATATCATGGATTTCGCTGCACAAGTTTATCAAAATCATTAAAAATCAATACACTTGTTCGTCTCAAGACCTTAAACTTTGTTTATCGATCTAAAGTTAATCGAATTATCACTTTGGCCCGTAGAGCATCCGCAAGATTTTTCGAAGTAATCAAGGGCTATAACTATGGCAGAAATTATCGGAAATCCTTTGTCCCATGACCGTATATTATTAACTTTAGCCTCCAGAGCGTCCTCAAGATATTTCAAGGTGACCATGGGCCATAACTCTGACAGTAATTATCGGAAATCTTTAAAAACACAAAACTTCTCCGTCTCATAACCTTAAATATTGTGTATAAATTTAGGTCAATCGGTTATTAAATCTAGCCTCTAGAGCGCCCACAAACAATTGTGTATGCCGGACGGACGGTGGCGACGACAATATACGACCACATTTCAATATGGGCGTATAAAAACGAGATTTTGCCGAGATTTAATTTGTACTTTATCGACGATTGTTGATATTTTTTGATATCAAAAAAGACGAGCAGGAGATTGTATTTATCACCGAACTCTTTCTTACGCGCACAAATAAATAAATATAATTCTTTGGTATAGATTTAAATTTACTGAACTTGATTACATTACGGCATAGTGATACAGCAAGTGACCCGTTGCAAAGTCCTAAATATTGACCCGGTATTTCCTTTAAGGGTATGGGGGGGGGGGGGGGGTATTGTAATTGTTTATGTTAATTGAGAACTTATCTCCAACAATATTATACTGGATCCAAAATGTAGTTCCTTTTTAATAAAAAAGTAGTTCCTTTTTAATAAAAAAGTAGTTCCTTTTTAATAAAAAAAAAGTTTCAATAAAAAAGTAGTTTCGCCATATCGTATGATCTTCCTATGTTTCACCATATTACATCAACTATGTTTCACCATATTACATCATCTATGTTTCACCATATTACACCATATTACATCAACTATGTTTCACCATATTACATCATCTATGTTTCACCATATTACATCATCTAACTAGGTTTTAACCATGATACGTACTTGGTCTATGTTTTAATATGATCTAACTCTATGTTTTCACAATACTGTATGAAATGAAATGAAATGGGGTTTAACGTCCTACTGTTCTGCTCCTAACCTGGGCTAATGAAGACGGGCATACGCCATACAGTGTGCTATGAAGGAAATTTTGCCCGGGCAGCGGCGCTACGGTATACTCTTATATCGAATTCCAACTGCCAAGGGGTCTTTTACGCGCACGCCAATGTGTACACGGGACCTCGGTTTTTCGTCCCATCCGACCGACTAGACAGCTGTCCTTGTCAGGCCCTCCATCCTGCATCACTGACAAGGGGAAACCACGCCGGAAAATCTGAATGACCTATGCTTATCACTTTGCATGACCTATACAATAACTATATTTTTAGGATGAAGCTTCCCCGGAGAAAATGTGGTTGAAAGGACAATGATTATAATACATTAGAAATGGTACCTACACATATATCTCGCAGCGTCGAAAGTATACTGTTACAAATTTAACTTATTTTTAGAAAGGCTAGACCCCAGGTAGTATTAGTTTTATATTTATGTAGTGAACCATAGTATTTTAGCAGAGATTGGTCCACTAACCAATTGGTTATTCGATGAGAAAGTGGTACGTGTCTGGTTTCCCTTTGGGTGTGGTGCAGGATAAAGGGTGGGGCGAGGAAAGGCGTCTAATAAATGGGACGAAGTACTAAACTCCTCGTATATCGCTGCTGTCAGAGCGCTATTCCCCTCGTAGCGCCCTACATGACGTATGTCTGTCTTCATCATTAGGCCTGTTGGTAAAACCTTCACCGCCATTTTATTTCAATAATAGTTAACAAAACTTACAGAATCATCATGACATGCTATGCCATGATGTACCTGACTCTAATTATCAGTACTTACCTTGAAGTCGATGTCTGTCGAAATATTATGTCCCCTTCTTAATACATCGTAGACAGTAAACTTTGAAGAAAGGCATGGACCCTATATTTTTAACCCCGACGTATGTAAACAATGATAAACACATGTATTGACACGCTTATACCAGTCCCATTTACTGACCCCATCACACACTAGTCCCACGCTTCAACGAGCGTGGTAAGTTGTAAGCTATTCTTACCTGCCTTTCACTTCGAGTAACTTGTTAGGCTTGGATCGAGAAGAATCATCCGATGTTTTTTAACCCGGTCCTCACTTGTCAGAGAAAGTGTGTCTAGTCCTGGATTGATGAAGACAGAAAATTTTGACCTGACAGCGGCGCTACGGCCTACTCATTTATATTAATATAGCCCTTTTCCTTCAAGTGTGTGTCGATAGCTATAACGTATTACATCCAAATCTAACCGTGTTAAAGAAACAGCTGCCGTAGTATTCTTTAACAATTTTTGCAGTTGTGATTTTATTGACATGCCTTTTCCTTCTTGTATATATATACTAGTATAAATCAGGTACATTCGGATTATATGTAAACCTGCATTTGTAAATTCCAATAACATTCTTTAAAATACGGACTAACTTGTCTTGCCGTAAAGGTGTTAACTATTATTTAAAGTTTCATGTAAGTATCACCATTCAATGTAAATATGTAGTACATCAAAGAAGGTAAAATCCTTACCTGCCAACAGAATGGACATCATTTTAGCAAAAGTCATCTTTAAAAACAATAGCACTATCTAGAAATGAAATGAAATGGTGTTTAACGTCCTACTTTTCTGCTCCGACTGGGCTAATGAAGACTGGCATACGCCATACAGTGTACAACGAGGGGAATTTTGCCCGGGGCAGCGACACTATGACCTACTCTTATATCGAATTCCAACTGCCAAGGGATCTTTTACGTGCACGAGACGTCGTTTTCCTCCCATCCGAACGACTGAACAGCTGTTTTTGTCAGGCGCTCCAAAATCCGAGCAGAATAGATACGAACTACCTTTTCATGTTAATTATTGTATATTTTTCATAAAAAAAAAAAAAAAATTCATCATTTGATACCTGAAGTTATTCATTGCCACCATATTTGACACCATATTAGCGCAACTGTCTTTCCAACTTTTAAAGTCGGCTTTAAAAAAAATAACAAATCGAATAACCATCCGAACAGAAAAATACAAACTAACTGTATTTAGTTTTTACAAAACTTTCACCGTGTGTTTTCCAATACAAGTATTGGTTATATCATATTAACTAAAATTATTCACAGCCACCAGTCTTTTGAACTCTTAGATACATATTAAAAATATACCCAAACAAGTATGGAAATACGCCCGCGAAGTAGAGATATGTCTTGGCAGCAGGTTATCCGAAAGGAAAATTTGGGACCAAAATTGACACGGATTTAAAGAAACCTGATCTCTATCGCCTTGACAAGCTTGAACAAAAAGTCACGCACAACCGGGAAATACGCTTAGGCATGAGGTGGGGTTGGATGGCCGAATGGTTAGCACGTGCGCGCTGTATCATAAGGTCTGTCATTGCGTCAACTGGCGGGGTTTCGATTCTCCGGTTGTACGTGACAAGGAGTAGGGTCGCCTGTCTAACCTCGTGGGTTTTCTCCGGGTCCTCCCGTTTCCTCCCACTGCTAAAGGCCCCTACGCGCAAGTGAATTATTGAAATAAAATTGAACCATGTGTTAGTCCCGAAATGACCTAGTTTGTGTCGAGTGGACGTTAAACCCCCATCTCTCTCTCTCTCTCTCTCTCTCTCTCTCTCCCACGCACGACCTTTGTCTCCAATAAAGAAATTAATGATAAACCTAGACAGCCGCTGATCCGAAATTAAAACTTAATTGTTCAGCAAATTTGATGTCTTCTAGAAATCTAATCTCTATCTGTTGACAAGATTTCGGGAAATGGCGGTGGGGTGAGGGGCGCTAGAAAGAAAAGTTTACAGAGCGCTAAATATCGATGACCCCAACACTTACCACCAAATGTGTGGGTGGTGGCGTTGGTGTTTGGTAACTCCGAAACGGAAATCCGCGCTGCGGGGACTATTCGTCTTCTCATAAACCCAATTCTTGACAAAGAAGTATCCGTTAAAATCTGCAGTAACTATCAGTTCACAGAGTTTTCGGTAAAGGGGGAATAACTCAGGAACGGACAGTCGACGAACCGTCAATATCGATAGTATTCGTCCTTTGGTGACCTAAGTGCTTCAAAACAACTTTGAAAAAAAATAGCCATTGTGACCCCAATGCCTGCCACCAGAAATGAAAGCCTATAACCTATTTTGCGTTCACAAGGATTTCATTACATGGGGCATAACAAAGAAGCTGATTCGACATTTCTTACAAATACAATGCTTATCATCAAATTTGAAAAAGATCGCTGCCTCGCTAGCCAGGAGATCGCGGGTTGGATCTCGGTGGGACAAAAAAGTTCATCTGGATTTTTTCGGCTTGGTTTTCCCTTGTCAGTGGTGCAGAAAGGAAGGTTTGACAAGGACAGCTGTCTAGTCGTTCGAATGAGACGAAAACCGAGGTCCCGTGTACACATTGGTGTGCACGTAAAAGATCCCCTGGCAGTCGGAGTTCGATATAAGTGTAGGCCGTAGCGTCGTTGTCTGGCAAAATTTCCCTCTTAGCACATTGTATGCCATATGACCGTCTTCATTATCCCAGTCGAAGCAGAAAAGTAGGACGTTAAGCTCCATTCCATAGAAAAAGATCCGACGTAAAATAAAACCCAGTTAAAATGTAGCCTCTATTGCCTTACATTTTCGAAAAGGGGGATAACCCTAGAACTGAAAGTCGCGGAACGATGCATATCGATAGGGTTCATCCACTCATGACACCAAATTTGAATAAACAATACGTTAAAAAGCAAAACCTTTGTCGCGTTAGTTTCTTGCACTCGAGGTTGCAGAACGCTCAATATCGATGGTGTTCGTCCTCCCATGGCCACATTGCTTATTGCAGTGGTTTTTTTGCCAACGGTACACCTTGTAACACGTGAAAACAAAGCAGCATACCTGGCTAAATATATATGAAAAATATTTGAATTTTGCAAAATAGAAACATGGCAAGTCAAACGCCATACATTTTAACATCTACATTTTCAATTAGTTTATGTTAGATTGTTTAAAAAGTTCAAGGGAGTCGGTTAAACGGCATCACGGGTCCAATGTATATTTAAGACCTCATTCTGATTTCATCTTTCGTCCACACACCCTATTGTAACATATTTTAAAACAGTAAAACAAAATAGCTAAAACTATGGAAACAGCGGGTAAAATAAACACTAGAACATCTAGTATCAAATACTGATATAACGGCATATCGACACTGGATGATCGCATATAATCTCCACCGAATTTCAACACATGCTCAATCCAAAACGTAGCTTCTTCGGTCGGGCTATTTCGTTCATTTAATTCCTTTAGAATCTGCGAAGCGTTGTAAACATTCGATTTATAAGAGGGGTTGTCAATAACTTCATTAATTTTAGCTGTGATTTCGTCACTTTGGGCTGTAAATAATTCCATGTAAAGACCATATCTTCTCTCCACCATATTATGGGCATTCGCGGGTTGGTCTCCAAATATTGGGAATCCTAGCATAGGTACTCCGTTATTGATAGCCTCACCAATACCGTTTGCTCCACAATGTGTTATGAATAATTTGACGTTTTTATGCGACAAAATAGATCTTTGAGGTATCCATTTTGACACCAGCATACGTTCATTACCTTCAACAAAATCACCTTTAAAAAAGAAATCATATTTTGTATTTAACAAAATCACCTTTAATAATGAAATCATATTTTGTATTCCTAAAAGCCGTAACTAATTTGGTATAGATTGTATTATTAGTGTTAGGTACCATGCTTCCAAACGACACAAGTATGGCGCCATTTTTAGATCTATCCAAGAATATCGAATATTCTTGTGGGATTTTATCTTTAATTATGGAGGTGATGGGATTTATTCGTTTAACATTAGGCATAGTTGGTACTGGTGGCAGAAGTACATCATCACGTTCTATAATATATAACTGTGCTTTAAGAATTATATACTATTCAAAAAAAAGTAGGGGATATTTGATTTTGGGGGCATAATACTAACATATGCAAATGACTACGAAAAAAGTCACTATAGAACCTAACAGAAGAAACATTTCCAGTTACATGTGACGCCCAAACGCACCAATAGCTACCGCATGGAATGCAGGTGATGCTTGGGATCATCATGGGGGTCCAACTCAAGATTTGCACGACTCTGACTTTGAATGTTACAGTCATTGTGGCATTGAATTCCAGGGTGGAAACATCAGTTTAATTGTTTTAGTGACCAGAAAACAAATTTTGATATGCGTCGGCTTACCCAAAATGAAAGGTTACGTGCCCTTGGCATGCTACAGATCGGCACAACACAGGCGGTTGTGGCGCGGACGATGAATGTTTCTCAGTCTGTCATAAGCAGGCTATGGTCCAGATACCGTGATACACAATCTGTACAGGACAGACCACGCTCAGGTCGACCAAGGGCGACAACTCAAGCCCAGGATCGATTTATCCGTACCTTGGCCTTGAGAAATCGTGTCATCACAGCAAATCAGATCAGCGCTCGTCTTCAAACAGACACTGGTGTGAGTGTGAGTGGCCAGACGATTCGGAATCGACTGCATAGGGGTCACCTTCGCGCCCGACGTCCTCGCGTGATCCCTTGTTTGAGAGATCATCACATTCAGGCAAGACGTCGTTGGTGTAGGGATCGTCAACACTGGGATAATCGACGCTGGAGCAATGTGATGTTTTCAGATGAGTCAAGGTTTGAACGTTTTCTTCCATATGGAGCAGCATTTAGCAACTTCTTGCCCAATAACTTTCACCAGGGAAGTATAGCAGTCTATTAAACACAACTATCGGCCCAATATTTCAACATGACCAACCTCTTAACTCTATTATCGTTCCATCTCAAAATCATGAGTATCCACTAAGCGCTGGCAGAAAATGTCAACCAACATGGGTAACCAAATGAGAATAATTAATCTGAATCCTATCTAGGGGTAAATTTTATGTATCAACAAAAGGCATCTATGTATGTAGGCTACTTTTGTATAGCTGTGTATCATAGCTCGATCCATGGACATTTGTTCTTAAATATATAAATGTGTTGATCTAATGGTTAGCGGTTGTAAGAACAGTGAGAGACTTAAATGTATAGCAGACTCTACGATTAAACGGTGGGAAATAGACGAGAGGTGTATCGTATTTATACGGAATAATTGATAACACAATAGTGATCTGGGGCTTGTTTCACGAAATATTAACTAATATAAAATTCAAATTTTAGTAATTTGATTGGATAATATTAGATTGATTTTAGTGCTTAGTATCTACTAAAATTTGGATTTTGTCTTTAGTTAAGAACACCGTCAACTACCAATAAATGAAACTTCTCTCGCTTCATGGTTGATGATAAATGGTTGTTGGATATATAGTAAAATCAACAATTTTATACATGAATCTCTTTCTAGTTAGAAGATACTGGATTAGATTCATAATCGCCTGTGATAGCTTCAAGAAAAGTTTCGATATTTTCGGATTGAGCAAACTGTGTAATTTGGATCTTTCTTTTCTTCAAATTCATTTTTCGGCTGAATTCGGAAGTCACTTTATCCACATCTCATGTCCTTTCTCTATCAAAGCATCTGCTATTAAAGATATACTGAGCGCCATGGAAAACGCATCACTTAGTTTTTCGTATAACAAAATGATCCTGTAAACATATCTTATTTATTTTGCTTCTTATTGTGAACAATATTCAAATGGGAACACATCAATAACAACACATTTGTACACTTATGGATGTTTAATCTGTAATCAACGGTACAAAGTCAGAGGGGTCAAAACCAAAAGTACGACACAGATGTCAGTAGCGCGTGTGTCCTCCACGGGGTCTTATACGCACGCTGTGCAGCGACGTCGCATGGAATTTACCAATGTTTGAAAGAAGGCCTGGGGCAAATTGTTCCATTCGTGGACAAGAGCAGCTTCTAAAGCAGCAATGGTGTGCATCTGTGGTCTCCGATACAGACGGCGTCCAATCTCATCCCAGACATGTTCTATCGGTGCCATGTCAAGAGACATGGCTGGCCAGTCCAAGACATTGATGTTGTTAGCAGCCAAGTAGTCCATACTAAAATGGGCGGTATGCGGACGTGCATTATCCTGTTGGAAGTGCTGAAGTTGGTTGCAAGACATCATCACGGTAGGCTACAGCATTAACGCGACCCCTGCAAATGTGTAGGGCGGTCCGGTGATGAAATGTGAAGCCTCCCCACACCATTACACTTCCCCCACCCCATCGATTCGTTTCGAAGACGCAGCAGCCCGCAAGACGTTCCCCAAGACGTCTCCACACACGTTGACGGCCATCAGCTTGATAAAGATGAAAGGGACTCTCATCACTGAAGAGCACACTTTGCCAGTCTACTCTTCTCCATGTCTGGTGTCCTTGAGCCCATATCAAACGCCGCTGACGGTGATGATCCCTGAGGATAGCTCCAACATAAAGTCGTCGTGCACGGAGTCCTACTTCTCTTAGACGACGTCTTACGGTGTTGGCACTTACTGGTCCTTGTCTTCCGACGACTGCTGCACCTGTTCGAGTCGCTGGGCGGAATCTGTCACGCATATGAGTGACCCGGATGTAGAGGTCTTAAGCCTGGGTTGTAACGCGTTGTGGACCAGGACGTTGACGGTCACGTGTTGATCCAGTAACTCGAACACGTTCCACCAACCTTACAGTAGTGGACTGATGACAATTGAAGTGTCTGGCAATAGCACGTGTAGACATGCCAGCCCTGGACATTCCCATGACTTCATTCCGTTGATTTTCAGTAAGTCTCGGCATCTCTAGCTCGATTCCTTCACAAGTCCAACAACAAATTACGACAGATTGACGTTTCACAGTTCATGTACTGCACATTAAGTTCATGTACTGCACATTAAACATGCTTTTAAAGGGTTCACACACAATACTGCACGTGAATATTGGATTTTTCATGTGCATCTCGTGCAATTTTTTTTTGCGCACACGGGCCGATATTTTTTGCGTTTGGGAGCATTGTGTGAAACAATAGTTCATAGTATTGCATAATATTATACATACAAAACCACCTAGTAATAAAATATTTGGAAAAAAAGTGATGCGTTTTCCATGGCGCTCAGTATATTTGTTAAACTTGGAGGTATACGGGCGTACATACAAAATTGTATTTTAGCTGTGACAATATAAAAGGTAAAACTACCATAATCGCCAGCAAACACATACACTTCATAATCGAATCTTCGATCTTTTCTTGTATACCAGATAACCTTTGATCCTAAAATTTGTTTAAGACACAGTGTTTTACCATATTACATGCTGTAATATATAATATTGATAACACCAATTCACTGCTATTTATATAACAGTAAAGACATAGAATACCATGACTTGCTATGATGTATGGGAACTGATTCGTTTAACATAGAGGTCCCCGGATCGATTCCAATGTTGGTCGCGTCAGTTCCGTCTTGTGACTGTCAGTGACGAAGGGCATGACAATGGCAGCACCTAGTCATTCGGATGGGACGTAAACTAAGGTCCCGTGTACACTTTAGCGTACACGTAAACAACACTTGCCATGAAATTCAGTTGGAATTGTCACGTGATACAAAAATATCAAAGAGCGTCTCCTTGGAATTGCCACGTTATACAAAAATGTCGAAAAGCGTCCCCCCCCCAAGAAAAAGACAGCAGCGATTGATACCCAGTTACTGGTCCAGAAAGGGAACTATTGTTTTAAGTTTCAAAACTAATAATTCCAATCAACAAGCATAAATATATACGGTTATATATATATCACCAATTATTGTATAACTTCTTCCGTTGTCGAGATGTAACGTTGCTTATTATTATGAACATCCGGCCTAGCAACATTGTAGGACCACTCCTTTGACCTAGGTATTCTTCTGATGCAATACGTACTAGAAATTGCCCTTTTCGGTCTGAGCCTATACATTACTACCGATACATGTGGCTAATGTTTAATTATTATTTATATACATTATAACATCTCATGGATAACCCTGATAAATGCCAGTTAGCTTATGATTTTGTGTATATCATAATGAAGTAAAGTGGTGATTTTTTACCTAGACGTGTTTTTTATTCATTAATGTAAATTAGCATACATGCGCTAGTTGGCTAATATGCAAAATTTTGCCGTATAAACACAGGTTTAGACATGGCCGACGGATATTCCATTTGGACACAGATCACTAAAGATTTCCCCATTGACTCCAATGTTAATTCTCGTATCTTAGACCGGCTCTAACTTTTTCCCAAATTTTCGTTGGGTAGAACGCTTTCTACCACAGATGGAGCAACATGTGGCAACCACTTGCCCAAAAGCACGTATGAGGTTCTTCATGAAAAATTTGAGATACACAAGCTGGAAGTAGAGACAACTAAACATGCAATTTCAGGCCCTACATTTCAACCTATCCAACCTCTCAACTCTTGTATCCTTCCGCATCAAAATTATGAATATTCACCAAAACCTGGCAGAAAATGTATTTTCAAACCCTTTTCCTCGATTCTACACCAAAAAGTCAACAAAATTCGCCATGCAAAAGGGGGAAAAAGGAAAAGGGAGCGGAAGACTAAAAATAGCTTTGGCCCTTGTTTCGTGTGACGGCGTAGGAATATTTGGTGTAGGAATATTTGGTGATCTGTGTCCATTTATATCAATGATCGTCAAGCTCTGTTTGATAAGCAACGGCTATTGATAATGGGCTATTTACTTACACATTTATAGTAGGTTAACTGGCTGCATAAGTAAACGCCGGTATACTGCGCGCTTAACAAGGTGTGTTGGTGTTACAAGGTGAGACCCTTTATGTAAATTATTTACGATAGTCATAGTTGAAAGCTTAATGGAACTAATAAGGTTAAAACGTGTTGATTAGATGTTAATTCGATACCAATATGTATGGAAATGAAATATCCATCGATCATGTCTAAAGGCTTTCGAAGAAGGCAATGGACTTGTAATTTAGGTTCTCCCCCTTGTCAGTTGGAATTCGATATAAGAGTAGGCGATAGTGCCGCTGCCCGGGCAAAATTTCCCTCATAGCACGCTGTATGGCGTATGCCCGTCTTCATTAGCCCATACTTGGAGCAGAACAGTAGGACGTTAAAGCGAGAATTTCAAATTTTCTAAGAAAGTCAAAACATAATTATTTCTATGTCTTTTGCTCAATAGGTTATCAACTCACTATTATACGATCATGGGCATTATTTCCCACCCTTAAAAATCTATGACACAGGAAATAACACAATTACCTCCCCTGTTTTGCTATTGACAACATGGGGCAGCCATTTTCCAACGTTGGAATTTGAAGTTAAAAATGATATTTTTGCCAATTTCTCAGCTGGCAATAGCGAATTATAGGATTAATAGGATTATTCTTCAACAAGGTAGGACTGTTTATGAATACCATCTATTTTAAGACTTTATTTTAATACATTTTAAAAATATAAATTTGAAATTTCCGCTTTAAACCTCATGTCATTTCATTTGTAATTTAGGTTCATCTATCCGTCTCTCCATCATACCTAGACTCAGTTCGACGATGAGATTCTGCTTAATCATTGATGCGAAGATGATCCATTTGATTGGTCGATAGTAAAGGGCACATTAATAGAGGTAGAATGATCAGACTTGTTGTAGATGGCCATTAGGTGAATGCCTGGACTGAGGCCCCGTATAGATTAGCAATTTGACTTTGGAACGAGATAACTCTGCTTCTGATATAGAGACAGGTGAAACGGATAGTATGAATGTTGAAACATGGTGTATACATGTAGTTTCGTTACTTTCATACCTTGACTTTTAAAACCACGCGATTGACAGATATAGATGCCAGTATCTATAAAGATCCAAAATCGATTCAAAAGCAGATGAACCCTTTACTGTAGCTTGCAGCTTTCACCTTTCTAGCTTGCAAATCGGTCGTGGTGCTTCACTTGGTTATCAATTGCTTTTTTTATATGCCAACATTTTATGTGTACGTATATTGTCGTCGTCCATGTCCACAAACACATAGCTTATTTTAATTTCTGTTACCATTGCTTCTCTTCAGATCGACGAAAAATGAAGAGTTCTGTAACAATACTGTGTCTTCTGGCGCTACCTTCTATGGTCATAGCAGCCAAGATATTGTTCCTGGCGTATCCAACTTTTAGTCATTTACAAGGCATGGCTATTCTTGGTGATTTTCTGAATGAACGAGGACATGAGGTATGGATGTCAGCCACATCAAACTTAGAAGGGAAATTAAAGTTAAAATCTAGAAATATTAAAGCAACCCCTTTCTCGTCCGAAGATAAACTTCTAGCAGCTATGGAAAATATGACGAGCAATGTTGAGTTCAGTCCAAGTGAAGTGTATTTCAAAACTGGGAAAAGGATCTTATCCTTCGAGGAATATAAGTGGATATGCCATGTTATGCTAACAGATGAATTGTTTCTATCGACAATCAAAGAACAGAAATTCGATTTGGTCGTTCTGGATATAATACCCGTAGTCACCATGTTGAATTTAATTCCTTATAAATTTGATATTCCGTTTGTTTATTTCGGCCCAGGTTACATTCCATATCTTTACAGAATCATGTATTCTCCGTCATTTGTACCGTTTCCAATTTTACCAATGTCCGACCGCATGAGCTTTTTGGAGCGAGTTGTTAATACGATCCTTCAGGGCGTCACTGTTTTATATGACCCTTTTAGCTATTATCGTGCCGCGGCTATATATGTACCCGAGAAGCCTTATATAGAAGTGTATGATATAATTCTTAAAGCACAGTTATATATTATAGAACGTGATGATGTACTACTGCCACCAGTACCAACTATGCCTAATGTTAAACGAATAAATCCCATATCCTCCATAATTAAAGATAAAATCCCACAAGAATATTCGATATTCTTGGATAGATCTAAAAATGGAGTCATACTTGTGTCGTTTGGAAGCATGGTACCTAACACTAATAATACAATCTATACCAAATTAGTTACGGCTTTTAGGAATACAAAATATGATTTCATTATTAAAGGCGATTTTGTTGAAGGTAATGAGCGTATGATGGTGTCAAAGTGGATACCTCAAAGATCTTTATTATCGCATAAAAACATCAAATTATTCATAACACATTGTGGAGCAAACGGTATTGGAGAGGCTATCAGTAATGGGGTACCTATGTTAGGTTTTCCCATATTTGCAGAGCAACCCGCGAATGCCCACAACATGGCGGCGAGAGGATATGGTCTTTATATGGAATTATTTACAGCCCAAAGTGACGAAATCTTAGTTAACATTAATGAAGTTATTGAAAATCCTTCTTATAAATCACACGTTTACAAAGCTTCACAGATTCTAAAGGAATTAAATGAACGAAATAATTCAACGAAAGAAGCTACGTTTTGGATTGAACATGTGTTGAAATTCGGAGAAGATTATATGCGATCATCGAGTGTTGATATGCCGTTATATCAGTACTTGATACTGGATGTCCTAGCCTTTATTTTATTCGTTGTGTCGGTAGTTTTAGCTATTTTGTTTTACTGTTTTAAAGTATGTTACAAACGGGCGTGTGGACGCAAGATGAAATCAGAATGATTTCTTAAATTCACCGGTTCCCTTTAGCTTTTAAACAGTGTAACATAAACTAATTGAAGATATATAATTTATAATGTAACAAATAGTGTTAATGTGTATGTTGGTGTATTATGCCGTCAAGTTGTCGGTCCGATGGTACGTCTGTCAACAATTGGCTTGTAAAAGCTATAGAGGCTACAGTGGTTGACGGATTTTGGCCGACTTTGGTATGAAGCAATGTGGTCAAGTTTAAAACAATGGTATGGACAGGTATCACCAACATGTATTAATTACGTTTGTAAGACATCACGTCAATATTATTTGATAATATGATTGCCCGTTAAATGAAGGCTACTAATATGTATTATACCTTGTGAATGGTTATTAAATACGAAACTTGTTGTTAATAACACCTTAGGCCGTTATAAATGATCTCAGGTATAAGTTAGACCGCTGGACAAGGTAGAATGACGGTATGTGACAATGGAGGCAGACGTGAATTAGGACGATGGCTGTAATGGCTACAATCTGTTATGGTATGTTATATTCATGTTGGCTGTATTGGTTGTTAAAATTATACATGTCATGACTTTTATGTTTGTTCCTGCATTGTGAAAATAAAGAAGTTAAATAACAGATTTCTTTTTCAAATATGGTGGGAATCATTGGAGTTGTGAGAGGATGTACCCTATCGCTGTCCGTCGGTCCGTCAACAATTTGCTTGTGAGCGTCATGATAGGTTGTATACCTCACTTTTTGATATGGAGGTATATTGCCGTCACCACTAACTTGATAACGAAAGGTAAATTGGCGGCAATGGCGACCAACACGTGGCTCATACACTGTCTAGTCCTCTAAAGGAACGGCAATAGATTATCAGGTCAGCCGACGACAAAATTGACCCGGATTACTTGTCCGGCAGAAGTGATAACGCAGTCAGTCTATGTTCTAGACCACTCTATCCAGGATGGCTACTTTGGTCGGCTAATTTAATTGTACATTCCTGTAAAGATTCAAGTAACATGATACGTTCACTGTTCAGTTGAACATCATTCGTAATACTCATTGCAGTCAAGATCGTCCTGACATTTATCAATTTCTTAAAAGAGTCATGTTGTATCCACGTTTTAGCAGATCGCCCCATTCGATCACTGATTTGGGTTTTGGGGGTACATGTATACAGATTAACTTCACATATAGTTGGTAAGGGGGCCGGATATTCCTTTCTTTTCTTATATATAACTCTAAATCGAATATTCCGATGCCTCAGCTTAATTCACTCAGTACGAATTTATCTTTGACGACTACTATTATAAATCCATCCATCGATATCAGTCCTAAGCCGTCTTTAGCTGTCAATTAAGATCTATATTATTTTGTTCAAGTCGAGGGAGCCACGGTGGCGTGTTCGATCCGACGCACTTCCCCCTTGTCAGTGGTGCAGGACGGAAGACCTGGGAAGAACCGCTGTTATTCATTCGGATGGGACAAAATCATGAGATCCTGTGTATCCCTTGGCAGTTGGAATTCGATAAAAGAGTAGGCCATAGCGCCGCTGTCCAGGCAAATGTCCATCATAACACACTGTATGGCGTATGCCCGTCTTTATTAGCCCAGTCGGAGCAGTACAGTAAGACGTTTAACTCCATTTCTTTTGAGTCGAAATAACGTAATAAAGCATCTTTGCGTGAGTATCGTAATAGTCCTAAACATTCTTCGTGTTATACAAAACAAACGTTCGCGGTTGGTTGGAGTTTTGAACTTGTCTAATTCAGCACCTTCCTCTGAAATCTATCTTCGAGCAAAATGGCATTTAGCTGGCTACATATGGCTTGGTGGCAGGGCTTATTTTAACGTGCCTCTGGATAAAAAAAAATCCGTGCTTTGAACAAATGCTATGTATTAACAGAACACAGTTTTTATGGGAAAAAAATCACCGGTTTATTCTAAAAGCACGACGTTTCGACAAGTATCCTCTTATCGTTATCATTGTGCTTGATAACGATAAGAGGATACTTGTCGAAACGTCGTGCTTTTAAAATAAACCAGTGATTGTTTCCCATAAAAACTGTGGTCTGTTCATGTGTTTCCCAATCGCTAAATGCCCTGCCACCAAGCCATATGTAGCCAGCTAAATGCCATTTTCACAATGCAGGAACAAACATAAAAGTCATGACATGTATAATTTCAACAACCAATACAGCCAACATGAATATAACATACCATAACAGATTGTAGCCATTACAGCCATCGTCCTAATTCACGTCTGCCTCCATTGTCACACACCGTCATTCTACCTAGTCCAGCGGTCTAACTTATACCTGAGATCATTTATAACGGCCTAAGGTGTTATTAACAAGTTTCGTATTTAATAACCATTCACAAGGTATAATACATATAAGTAGCCTTCATTTAACGGGCAATCATATTATCAAATAATATTGACGTGATGTCTTACAAACGTAATTAATACATGTTGGTGATACCTGTCCATACCATTGTTTTACACTTGACCACATTGCTTCATACCAAAGTCGGCCAAAATCCGTCAACCACTGTAGCCTCTATAGCTTTTACAAGCCAATTGTTGACAGACGTACCATCGGACCGACAACTTGACGGCATAATACACCAACATACACATTAACACTATTTGTTACATTATAAATTATATATCTTCAATTAGTTTATGTTACACTGTTTAAAAGCTAAAGGGAACCGGTGAATTTAAGAAATCATTCTGATTTCATCTTGCGTCCACACGCGCGTTTGTAACATACTTTAAAACAGTAAAACAAAATAGCTAAAACTACCGACACAACGAATAAAATAAAGGCTAGGACATTCAGTATCAAGTACTGATATAACGGCATATCAACACTCGATGATCGCATATAATCTTCTCCGAATTTCAACACATGTTCAATCCAAAACGTAGCTTCTTTCGTTGAATTATTTCGTTCATTTAATTCCTTTAGAATCTGTGAAGCTTTGTAAACGTGTGATTTATAAGAAGGATTTTCAATAACTTCATTAATGTTAACTAAGATTTCGTCACTTTGGGCTGTAAATAATTCCATATAAAGACCATATCCTCTCGCCGCCATGTTGTGGGCATTCGCGGGTTGCTCTGCAAATATTGGAAAACCTAACATAGGTACCCCATTACTGATAGCCTCTCCAATACCGTTTGCTCCACAATGTGTTATGAATAATTTGATGTTTTTATGCGATAATAAAGATCTTTGAGGTATCCACTTTGACACCATCATTCGCTCATTACTTTCAACAAAATCGCCTTTAATAATGAAATCATATTTTGTATTCCTAAAAGCCGTAACTAATTTGGTATAGATTGTATTATTAGTGTTAGGTTCCATGCTTCCAAACGACACAAGTATGACTCCATTTTTAGATCTATCCAAGAATATCGAATATTCTTGTGGGATTTTATCTTTAATTATGGAGGTGATGGGATTTATTCGTTTAACATTAAGCATAGTTGGTACTGGTGGCAGTAATACATCATCACGTTCTATAATATATAACTGTGCTTTAAGAATTATATCATACACTTCTATATAAGGCTTCTCGGGTACATATATAGCCGCGGCACGATAATAGCTAAAAGGGTCATATAAAACAGTGACGCCCTGAAGGATGGTATTAACAACTCGCTGGTAAAATTGGAAACGGTACAAATGACGGAGAATACAAGATTCTGTAAAGATATGGAATGTAACCTGGGCCGAAATAAACAAACGGAATATCAAATTTATAAGGAATTAAATTCAACATGGTGACTACGGGTATTATATCCAGAACGACCAAATCGAATTTCTGTTCTTTGATTGTCGATAGAAACAATTCATCTGTTAGCATAACATGGCATATCCACTTATACTCCTCGAAGGATAAGATTCTTTTCCCAGTTTTGAAATACACTTCACTTGGACTGAACTCAACATTGCTCGTCATATTTTCCATAGCTGCTAGAAGTTTATCTTCGGACGAGAAAGGGGTTGCTTTAATATTTCTAGATTTTAACTTTAATTTCCCTTCTAAGTTTGATGTGGCTGACATCCATACCTCATGTCCTCGTTCATTCAGAAAATCACCAAGAATAGCCATGCCTTGTAAATGACTAAAAGTTGGATACGCCAGGAACAATATCTTGGCTGCTATGACCATAGAAGGTAGCGCCAGAAGACACAGTATTGTTACAGAACTCTTCATTTTTCGTCGTCAGTTAACCTACTATAAATGTGTAAGTATAACCCATTATCAATAGCCTGTGCATATCAAACAGAGCTTGACGATCATTGATATAAATGGAATATCCGTCGGCCATGTATAAACCCGTCTTTATACTGCAATAATTTGCATATTTGCCAACTAGCGCATGTATGCAAATTCACTTAAATGAATAAAAAACACGTCCAGGTAAAAAAAAAATCGCAACTTTACTTCATTATAACATACACAAAATCATAATCTAACTGGCATTTATCAGGGGTCATCCATGAGATGTTATAATGTAAAGATAATAATTAACATTAGCCACATGTATAGGTAGTAATGTATAGGTTCAGACTGAAAAGGGCAATTTTTAGTACGTATTGTATCAGAAGAAAACCTTGGTCAAAGGAGTGGTACTACAATGTTGCTAGACCGGATGTTCATAATAATAAGCAACGTTACATCTCGACAACGGAAAAGTTATACAATAATTGGTGATATATATATAACCGTATATATTTATGCTTGTTGATTGGAATTATTAGTTTTGAAACTTAAAACAATAGTGCTCTTTCTGGACCAGTAACTGGGTCCCAAACGCTGCTCGTCTTGTTCTTGGAGGGGGCGCTCTTCGATATTTTTGTATAACGTGACAATTCCAAGGAGACGCTCTTCGATAGTTTTGTATAACGTGACAATTCCGGCTGAATTTCGTGCCAAGGGTTGTTTACGTGTACGCGGGACCTTAGTTTACGTCCCATGACTAGTTGCTGCCATTGCCTTCGTCGCTGACAGTCACAAGACGGAACTTACGCGACCAACATTGGAATCGATCCGGGGACCTCTGTGTTAAACGAACCAGCTCCCATACATCATAGCAAGTCACGGTTTTCTATGTCTTTATACTGTTATATAAATATAAATGAATTGGTGTTAACAACATGTTACATCATACATATGGTAAAACACAGTGTCTTATATATATATATATTGCAGATAACAGATTTTAAAACCAAAGTTAATCTGGCATATAAGAAAAGATCGAAGATTCCATTAGGAAGTGTTTATGTTTGCTGCCAATATATGGTAGTTTACCTTTCATGTTGTCCACATTAAAATCCTATTTGTATGTCTGCCCGTATACAGCCATGTTTAACAAATATCGTTAATAGTATATGCTTTGATACAGAAATGACATGAATTGTGGATAACATCACTTCCGAATTTAACAGAAAAACTGAATTTGAAAAAAAAGGAAGATCCAAATTACATCCGTTTGCATAATCCGAAAATATCAAAGCATTTCTTGAAGCTATCACAGGCAATTATAAATCTAATCCAATATTTTCGTATCTTCTAACTGGAAGGAGATTAATGCCGTTAGATCTAATGAACAAACTTGTTGATTTTATTTTATCCAACGACCATTTATCACCAACCATATAGAGATCGAAGTTTGATTTAATGGTAGATGACGGTGTTCCGGCCACTTCCGTGTTATCAATTATTTCCTAAATATGATACGTCTTTCACCGTTCTCACAACCGCTAGCCATTTGATCAACACATTTGTATGTTTTAGAACAAATGTCCATGGAGCTATGATACACAGCTGTACAAAAGCAGCCTAAACACACAAAGGATCATCATATTTGCATTTATTCTTTAATTTTCTCTTATCTGCATATTGTCCCAATACATGGATAACTAATAAAAAAGCCTTTTGTTAATACATAAAAATTACCCCTAGATAGGATTCAGACCACTATTAATTTTTCTCATTTGGTTACCCATATTGATTGACATTCTCTGTCAGCTCTTGGTGGATACTCATGACTTTGAGATGTAACGATAATAGAATTAAGAGGTTGGTCATGTTGAAATATTGGGCCGATAGTTGTGTTTAATCGACTGCTTTACTTCCAGGGTGAAAGTTATGAGAGCTTTTTGGGCAAGAAGTTGCTACATGTTGCTCCATATGTGGTAGAAAGTGTTCAACTTAACGGATCAAAGAGACCAGAATTTTAAAAATCATTGGGGGAAATCAGTGCTGACCTGGGGTCATACGGTGTGTATCAATATTCATATTTTCCAATGTTGATGAAAGTTGACTACTTGTTCCTTTGCAATTGGGAATGTCATTGTCATTCTGTTTCTTTTATGTTTTTGAGTTCTGGTGCAAATCCGGTATACATGTATATGGATAGTAATGCAAAACTGCATTTGTGAAAAACAACAACATTCGTTAAACATTACATATTTTTGTTACTGCATTTCATATAATAAAGAGACAGGAAACCGAGTAAAAATCAGAGCAGAAAAAAACACTACCTTTTTATATTATTTGGTCGTAAAAGTGTCTATTATTATTAATACATTTTTTTTAAAAACAATGTTCAACATTTGTTACCCTATACAAATATTGAGTATACCAAATTAATTAAAATTATTCATTGCCACACGAAGTGACACAATTTGAGCAAAACTGTCTTTAAAACCTATACATTTGAAATTTTAGTAATTTCAGTCAATTTAAACGGTCATATAAATATCAACCATTAATTTATAACTTCTTCCGTTGTCTCGATGTTGAAATGTTAAAGGGTTCCTGTGAAACCCGGCCTAGCTGCATCGTAGGTTTAGTTTATATTAAAGATCTTATTCTGATTTCATCTTGCGTCCACACATCCTACTGTAACATATTTTAAAACAGTAAAACAAAATAGCTAAAACTACGGAAACAGCGAGTAAAATGAACAGTAGAACATCCAGTATCAAATACTGATATAACGGCATATCGACACTGGATGATCGCATATAATCTCCACCGAATTTCAACACGTGTTCAATCCAAAACGTAGCTTCTTCTGTTGAATTATTTCGTTCATTTAGTTCCTTTAAAATCTGCGAAGCTTTGTTAACGTTCGATTTATAGGAGGAATTTTTAATAACTTCATTAATGTTAGCTAATATTTCGTCACTTTTAGCTGTAAATAATTCCATAGAGAGACCATATCCTCTAGCCGCCATATTGTGGGCATTCCCAGGTTGCTCTGCAAATATTGGAAAACCTAGCATAGGTACCCCATTACTGATAGCCTCTCCAATACCGTTTGCTCCACAATGTGTTATGAATAATTTGATGTTTTTATGCGACAATAAAGATCTTTGAGGTATCCACTTTGACACCATCATTCGCTCATTACCTTTAACAAAATCACCTTTAATAATGAAATCATATTTTGTATTCCTAAAAGCCGTAACTAATTTGGTATAAATTGTATTATTAGTGTTAGGTAACATGCTTCCAAACGACACAAGTATGACGCCATTTTTAGATCGATCCAAGAATGTGGAATATTCTTGTGGGATTTTATCTTTTCTTATCGAGGTAATGGGATTTATTCGTTTAACATTAGTCATAGTTGGTACTGGTGGCAGTAATACATCATCGCGTTCTATAATATGTAACTGTGCTTTCAGAATTATATCATACACTTCTATATAAGGCTTCTCGGGTACATATATAGCCGCGGCACGATAATAGCTAAAACGGTCATAGAAAACATTGGCTCCTTGAATGATGGTATTAACAACTCGCTTCAAAAAGCTCATACGGTCAGACATTGGTAAAATTGGAAATGGTACAAATGCCGGGGAGTATGGGATTCTGTAATGATATGGAGAGTAGGCTGGACCAAAATATACAAACGGAATATCAAATTTATAAGGAACTAAATTCAACATGTTCACTATGGGTATTATATCCAGAACGACCAAATCGAATTTCTGTTCTTTGATTGTCGCTAGAAACAATTTATCTGTTAACATAACATGGCATGTCCACTTCACGTTCCTTACGTTTAAGATCCTTTTCCCAGTTTTGAAATACACTTCACTTGGGCTGGTCTCAACTCTACTCTTTATATTTTCCACAGATGTTATAACTTTATCTTCGGACGAGAAAGGAGTGGCTTTAATATTTCTAGATTTTAACTTTAATTTTTCTTCTAAATTTGATGTGGCTGACATCCATATCTCATGTCCTCTTTCATTCAGAACATCACCAAGAATAGCCATGCCTTGTAAATGACTAAAAGTTGGATACGCCAGGAACAATATCTTGGCTGCTATGACCATCGAGGGAAGCGTCAGAAGACACAGTATTGTTACAGAACTCTTCATTTTTCGGCGATCTGAAATGAAGCAATTATAAAAGAAATTAAAATAAGCTATGTGTCTAACCCTGTTTAATTTAATGAAACACATGGTTTGCGATCGTTCAATGCTACGAAGCATTGTAAATCTTTACGCAATAGCTTTACTACAGGAAATAAAAAAGCCAATAATGAGGCTGATGTCACCCGCCAAATAAAAAAAAAAGTAATGAGACAACACACATTTTTAAATTGCATATTATCTACGAGAAGTTTAGAGTCTGTTCGAGTGTCACTAACATCAGCGCAGCGTCTGTACATGGAGTGGACCAGACGATTGATGAGCGTCATTGGCACCTGGAACCACACTCTCAGAAAAGCCTGGCTCAATCCATCGGCTGTGCTTGGTCTCGGTACGATGTTATTAAGTCTCCTCTGAATTTCACTCTTTGGTTTAGGCCGATTCCACCCCAAAAAATTATGCTTGGACCTCCACAGACGAGTGGACCAGACGATTGATGAACGTCATTAGCACCTGGAACCACACTCTCAGAAAAGCCTGGCTCAATCCATCGGTTGTGCTTGGTCTCGGTACGATATTATTATGTCTCCTCTGAATTTCACTCTTCGGTTTAGGCCGATTCCACCCCAAACCACTATGCTTGGACCTCCCCATAAATCTCGTTCCATGACACATTGGTCAGAATAATGCTGGCCACGTCGACGCCTTATTCTGGTCCTGCCATCGGCAGTTGATACACAATACTGACTCTCATCTACGAACAGAACAGTTCCCCATGTCGCCAGTTCTTGTATTGCTGGGCAAACTACAGACGTTCACGTCGATGGCGAGGTTCGTACACGGCAATGGATGTTCTCTCTGGTGAGACGTCGGCGCACTGTATCGGTACTGATGGGTCTTCCGTGTGTTCCCATTGTCTGACGTGCTGTCTCCGATGCCTGTGTGAAGAGGTGCTGCACGCGCTGTCGCACAACATGGCAGTCTTGTCGCCTTGTGGTAACTCTTGGTCTACTCGGGGGCGATCATCCGTGGTGTTGGTGGCGTCGAGTATTCCAAGCGCCTGGTTCCTTTGAGCTGTCGTGAGTCGTGGCATGCTGCTGACGTTGTAGCGTGAATGATTCAACCAGGTATGGGGGTGCATTTTATAGGGCCGGTCCCGGTGTGCAGCATGAGTTGCATGAAAATAATGGAGAACACATTACCATCTCAGAAGTAAGGTTGCGTTTTTGAGTACATTTCCTTGGGGAAGGAGCTTTATTGGTCAGGTTAAGTTGGATATGTGGTCACAAACATACAATAAAAACATTTGGCAAGTTTTATGCAATGTGTCTAATCAGAGTAACACACCAATTTTGTAGTGAATGTGGCCGAGCAGAATAATTATCATGAATACTTGGCATATACAAATCTGTTTGTTCATCTTTCATTTTATCTAAAATATATTTTAGCTTTAAAGTCTTTGGTCTATTTTCTTTTACATCCATTTATGTTGGATTTTCGTAGTGGCAAAGGTAGATGAATTCGAGCAATTGTTTCGTGTTCTGATACCTCTCTACAAAAAATCATTACCTATGTCTTTTAATGCGTCCCGGACATTTGATGGGATGCGTCTTTATTGGCCTTGTTCATTAGTTCGCCCATAGTACGTTCAGGTTTACATATGTAGTATGTTAAATATGCGATACATGTCCATATATTTAGTGATAAATTGAATATGTATATTTGATTATAGTGCTTGTGAAATTTGTTCATTATTATTATTGACATTAACTTCATTTGGTTCAAGTTTCATAATAATTGAGGGCCTCCGTGCAGCTATTTTCAGCTCTTCAGTATTGTCTTGTAGTGTTACCCTAACTTCATGTAGAATAAAGATTGTAGTGTTATTGTTAATTATACATTTTTATCAGTTAAAATGGTATATAGTTTAGCTTGTATAAATTTAGCTCACGCCTTAATACCAGTGTCGGCATCTGCTTCTGGTATTCTGGATATTATAGCAGATGGTGAAGGAACTCTGAGATGTCCAAACCTACATAACACAAGTGGCTCTGGTAACTGACATGATACGTATGAAAGCAATACTGGCCTCGTCACCATCTTCATCGATACATGGAGTATCTTATACATGAACAGCAGAATGAAAATGTTCCGTTTCTCGTCCTTGCATCTCTTTTCTTCTATCATAGTTAACAATTTGACCAACAAGATGTGTTCCACTGAAAATAACGCTATCCCATAATTGCTGCAGTTACAGGGTTAGTTTGTAGCCACATGCGTTTAGTGTTCCAATCCGTTGATGCAACATCTTCACCTCAGAATTCCTTACCATACTACCTCCCCACTACTTGGAATTACTTGTGGCGAATGTAATTCTGCTGCTGAAACAGTAATGAAAAAAATATAAAGAACCAACTGTCTAGTTTTGCTATCATGTCAAATTGCATCTGTTGCCAATATTGGGGTGTATCGCGAATACATTGAACTGGTAAACAATTGATCTCTTTTAAGAAGTCTGTGAAAACGAGAAGGGTCTTTGAATTGTCCAGCTGATTTATGAAATGATGGGCTTTGCTGGTTATGATGTATTTACTTGTACAACAGAATGTTCTAGAATATATAATATTTGAAAAATGTATTTAGGGCTCTCATAAAATCTTGTGTCTTTACAAAGGAGTCTTGAGATTAGAATTTTTTTATTGTCAATGTCTGTCTGAATTAAACACATTTGTAACATTAGGAAATAACTGGGAAAAGAAAGAGCTTCCCAGTTGGGTTCGTGAAATATAGAATTGGAATTTTGTCCCCCTGCTGGAGCTAAATTTAAATGTGTTGGTTTGAAACAGGTGAATAAGTTTAAAGCTGATTTCTGCTGAAGTTCTTCTGTCCAGTTCATCTTCTCTATCTGTTATTGAGTCATCGTCCACTTGAGGACACATCCGTTTGCTGAGATTCTTTTCGCAAGGGATCTTGCACAATTATCTGTACATAAGTTACCATCTGTTCCCAGCTTTCACTTATTGTGACACCTGCATAAGGACGTAAATGTTTAGTTTTAATGCTAACGTTATTACTTGAGATAGCCCTTGGTAAGTTTGTTGCAACTTTGGTTAAATCTGCAGTGAACACTATTGTTATACAGGAGAACTTCTAAAAGACACAAAGCTTTTAGTTATGTTGGAATTTCTGACAGAGAAAGATTATTAGCTTGACTTGAAGGTGGCAAAGTTCCTCTTTTTATATGTAGGTGACATGGTTGGCATATCCAACCAGTAACAACTCCAGAAGAACACTGACAAATTTCATGGTCAGAAAGTTTTTTCAATTTCCGGTTTTAAATAACTGAACAGATGATCGTCGTAAACAAGACACATAAATGTAGTTTTCGTTAACTTTTCCCTTAAATGTTGTGTGGCTTGTTTTTCTACTTGTTTGATTTTTTTCCTTCTGAGTATATCGTAATTTATTTCTCAGTAATTTATGTCTTTTGAGTAAGGAGCCACGGTGGTTCAGCGGAGATCAGATGTTCGATCCCTGCATTGGCCGCGAAAGTTCATCGGTATTTTCCGGCGCTGTTCCCCCTTGTTAATGTGCAGGACAGAGGGCCCGTGTACGTAAAAGCCCCCTTGACAGTTGGAATTCGAAATAAGAGTAGGTCATATACCTTGTAGCACACTACATGGTGCATGTCCGTCTTCATTAGCCTAGCAAGAGCAGAACAATAGGACGTTAAATCCCATTTCATTTCATTTCATTCTGAGTATGTGGTAATTTATCTCTCAGTAATTTATGGCTTATTTTGATAGTTGGTTTTCTTTCCGTCTTTCTGGGGATTTGTTAATTTTCCTCTCAAGTCAGAACGAGGGCATTTGAAAATGGAAGCAGACGTGAATTAGGACGATGGCCGAAATAACTACAATATGATATGGTTGTTAGAATTATAGATGTAATAATTATTAATGTGTGTTCTTGTACAGTTAAAATAAAGAAGTCCAAAACCGCAGTCATCGTTATCAATAGATCTTTGATCCTATGTTACACATGTTAACGATTGTATACAGAGTCAGTTAAAAGCATGATTAAATAAATGTGTTTTAAGTTTGTTTTTTTAAAGAATATAGAGGGGTACAACATCTTAAACTAAATGGTAGATTATTCCATAAAACAGGTGCTTGATAATTAAAAGAGCGCAAATTGAACCTAGTCTAAGGTACAGCTACAACGAGAATATACCTATTATCACAAG